TGCTGTTAGGGAAGAGTGGGGTATGGAAATTCATCAAGCTGTTTGTCCCTCAGGGAGGCAGACACCATCTAGAGCTGGGACGAGGAAGGGAGGCCTTCAGCTGGAGCAGAGGATCAGGTTTTAATCAGCAAAATATGGGAGTGTGTGTGTTTGTGAGTGTGTGTATGAGAGAGAGAGAGAGAGAGAGAGAGAGAGAGAGAGAGAGAGAGGCCACAGATAAATTGTTTCCATGTTTGTCAAAAATAGTTTTGGATTAAAAAAACATTAAAAATCTTATAGCAGCTCAATTCACAATAGCTAACTGTGGAACAAACCTTAGATGCCCTTCAACAGATGAATGGATGAAGAAACTGTGGTATATATACATAGTGGAATATTACTCAGCCTTAAAGACGAATGAAATTACAGAATTTGCAAGTAAATGGATGGAGTTGGAGAATATCATGCTAAGTGAAGTAAGCCAATCCCCCAAAACCAAAGGCCAAATGTTTTCTCTGATATGTGGATGTTGATCCATAATGGGGTGTGGGGGTGGGACAAGGGAAGTACAGAGGAACTTTGGATTGGGCAGAGGGGAGTGAAGGGAGGGGAGCAGGTATAGGGATGGGAAAGATGGTGGAATGAGATGGACATTATTTCCCTATGTACATGTGTGATTGCATGAATGGTGTGATTCTGCATCATGTATAAACAGAGAAATGAAAAGCTGTGCTCCATTTGTGTACAATGGGTCAAAATGCATTCTGTTGTCATGTACAACAAATAAAAATTGGAACCCCTGGCCTAGAGAGAAGAAATGATTCGTTGGGTCCATGAGTAATTAAACCTGTTTTTAATGCTGACAATACACTTAACCAAGCATTAGTGAGGCCACTCCTGGACCTGGAGGATGAGGTTAGACTGTCAAAGGCAGGGATTTTTCTCTCTGATGCCCCCTTTTTCTAACAAAATTTCATAGCACTTCCTTCACTTTACTGAAAAGACAATACAATCCATCTACAATATTATTTCAAAACTAAATTAATAGAATACCCTTATGTAACAAAAATAACAAATGGAGGAATTAAAGGAAAGCTATTTAAGATAAAATAATATATGTATATATAAAATATTTTAGTATGCAAATACTCAGGCATGACTAGAGAGAGGTGTTGAACTAGCCCCATGCTTGCACCCAAGTCAGGCTGGATGAGCACGTTGGGCCTTGGTGGTGGCTCTTGGCTGGCTTCCCTGGTTTCCTCCAGTGGCTTCTGCTTGCATGTGGCCTCTCTGCATTGATTAAGCCCAAGACCCTTCACACAGCAGCCATCTCCCAACCGAGAGAAACAGATGCTCTGAGGCTTCTAAGCTATTAAACCCTTCCTATGTGCCTGGCACAGTGTTAAGGTTTTACATATCATACTAAGAAAAGTTTGCAGCAGCCTCATGCAGCAGGTACTATTATTATCTCCACTTTACAGATGAAAGAACTGAAGCTCAAAGAGGTGAAATAATTAGCAATGGTCACACTGTCCCTAAGGAGCTGAGATGGGACCCATCTCTGTCTGACTCTGTCTGGCTCATATGGAGATAACAGCAACCTAGGATAGAGAGAAACATGCCTTCTGAAGAGAATAAAGGGTTTGGCTTCAGCACTGGGCAGATCCAGGGATTGGACACAGAAGGTGTCCAATCTCTTGTTAGCAAAGAATTGTAGTTATCCATTTGATGCTTTTTAATTTGGGAAGAAGAGGACTTTCACACAGGGGGTCAGTCAAAAAGGCATTGGTGGTGCCGGGGATGTGGCTCAGGCGGTAGCGCACTCGCCTGGCATGCTTGCGGCCTGGGTTCGATCCTCAGCACCACATACAAACAAAGATGTTGTGTCCGCCAAAAACTAAAAAATAAATAAATATTCTTTAAAAAAAGGCATTGGTAATGTTGCACACTCATATATTTCAGTAACTATAAGACATTCAGGTCTTTGTCCTTCCAGAAAATGTACACTTCTAGAGTGCCAGGCATTTGAGGGATGGGCGCATTAGTCAGTTTGCACATCAAGTGCAAAGGGTGATTACTGAATGATCTGGGAGACAGCGAAGAGGACCGCTTCAGCATGATGGATGCGGCATGTTTGCTAGTACAACCGGCATGGGACAGACCTCGCGAGGAACAAAGCTGGCTAAGTATGACCTGAATATAGGAGGGAACAAGCTAAAACATCCCGATCCTTTTGATAGTTTTCCATCATTAAGCAAAGGTTAATCTTTCTGGGAGTGTGAGACTCAAGTCACAGTTGGTACTAATTATTTGACTTGACTTAGAAAACAGAGCAGGTTCTTTGTGAACCCTCTCAGTCTGGGATGACCCTCAACTTAGCATTTCTAAGAAGGTTCTGATGAAGGGCATGGAGAATGTCCACAACATCACAGTACAGAAGCCGATTCTGAGTTTTTATTCCTGCCTTTTTTGTGGCCTTGACATACGAAAGGTCTTTCTGGAAGGCTTAAACAGCCCCGTAGCCTACGAGTTCATTAATCCAGCCATTCATAAACTCCACTAATTTTTGGGGGGCCTCTAGGGATGTTATTCTACATATTGGCAATGTAGTATTTGAAAACAAAAAAGGACATGGAATGCATACTCTCATGGAACTCTATCAGAGGCAGGGAGTGACATTACAGTATGACAGGTGGGGACAAGTACTAAGAAGAAAAAATGCCAGGGAGGACACAGTGGTGGTGTGAAGCTGTTATGGGCAAGTTACTTAGGAGCTGTTACTCTTCGAAGGTGACATTTAAGTATAGACCTGTGTGAAATGGAAGAAGAATCCTTCAGAAGATGTCAGAAGGAACAGATTTCCAGGCATGGAGAGCAGTCAGGACAAGTTCAGGAGGCAAATGTGTGTTTGGGTGAAAGAGCAATAGTGGGGGAGCCCCTGTGGCAGGGACAGAGAGAGAGGAGGGCACTGCTACCAGGAGAGTTAGAGAGGAAGGGAGTCAGGCTGGGATGCCAGGGGCCTTGGAGGTCTATAAGGACTCAGTATTCTGAGTGTCATGGAAATCTATTGAATAGTTTTGGCCAGAGGAGAGAAATTATGTGAGTTATGATTTTCAGAGGTCATTCTGGCTGCTATGTGGGAAACAAGGGGATAAGAATGAAAGTCCGAAGAGTGTTCGACTAGTTCAAAGATGTTGCAATTATTATTTAGTCAATGAGTGATGGCTCCTTGGACCAGGGTGGTAGCAGGGAAAGTTGTGAGAAGCAGCTCAAGGTTTGAGATATCTTTCAAAATTAATGCCAGCGAGATTTATGAACAAAGATGAATGGGATGGGATTGAAGGATGACTCCAGTGGGCTTTGAGCCTGAGAGACAGGAAGGATGGAGTTGCTATTTGCACATATAATAAAGGTGGGAAAAGCGGGTTGGCAGATAGAAGATAAAGAGCTGAGTTTTGATAATGGGAAGTTTGAGATGTCCACAAGACATCCAGAACTGAAGGAAGAAGTTGAATGAAAGAGTCTGGCGTTAGGGGAAGAAGTCCAGATTAGTGGTGACCAGATTCACGATGATTTAGATGCCAACAGCCTACAAATGATATTTAAAGTCATGGGATTGGATGGGCCAGAGAGTAAGGGTAGATAATATAAACGACAACAAAAAATCTAAGGAGGGGGTCCTGAGCACTCCCAAATTCAGAAGCCAGGAAAAAAAAGAGGTGTCAGTGAAGGAATTCCAGAAGGAGAAGCCGGGAGGAGAGTCAAGTGCTCTCCGAAGGGAAGCCAAGAAGGTATTTCAAGGTATTTCAAATGAAGCTTATGGGTTGAGTTTGGCAAGAATGGAGCCGTGAGTGAGAATGCCAATGTGAAGGCCATTAGTGGCCTCGATAGAATGAGTTTCAGTGGAGACCTGAAGTTCAAAGACTTAGTGGCATACATTTGAGAAAGTATAAAGAAAGTAGGGAAAGAATACAGACCACTCTTAGGAAGCGTGTTTCTATAAGAGATTGGGATGGTGGCCAGAAGGGATTGATGGGGGAAATTGTATCAAATCTGCATGATGCCGCTGATCCAGAAGAGAAAATAATCACAGATGGACAGAGAGTGTGGGGTAGATTCCATCAACAGCAGTAAGGACCCTCTAAAGCATCGTGCTCATGAATTTAAAGTGGAACCAATCCACGTGGTCATGTGTTTCCTTCTGCCATGTCTGCAGGCACAGGGTAGGTGGAGAATTGTCCTCAAATGTGGCTTGCCTCCCATGCCCAGGGAGGTGAGAAAGGTTGAGCGTCTACATATGGGACTGATTCTACAGTCAATGATAGACCATGAGTTTTAAGTTGACTATGAACAAAGGGATGAGGGGTGGGGGGCATGAACAAGTGAAAAGAGATGATACATTTTAATCTGCACTGCAATGAAGGGTAGTTGAATATGGGCACAGCAGGAGAGGACTCCATATGGGGTTGGTGGTAAATATGGGATTGGTGGTAAATATGGGATTATTGCATTTGATATTTTGAAGCGATAGTGGTAGTGTGGCAGTCTGGGGTATGACAGTGGAATGGGTGCCTGGAGGAGGATCATGGATAATTATTGAAGGAGAAATCAAAGAAGGCAGAGTGTTGTCTGAGTCTTCTATATGCATATTGAAGTTGCCTGCCTGAGACTGTCGATACTGCTGCTGAGAGAGTCAGGATCAAAGAATGCTCCTAGAACCGTGTAGAGATTTTTGAACAAAGAGTTGTTCCACAATGACAATCAAATCACAATCTAAGACAAAAGATGTAAAAGTGGATAAGGCAGAAATAAATGGATCCCATTCTGCAGGGACCCCAAGTGAGGATACTAACCTTTAACAATAGAATGTGATGAGTTAACTGTTTGAGGGAATTATTTCATAATTTCCTTCTCCCTGAATGTTTCAGGCATTTAACTTTCCAGAGCCTAACAGAATAAATTCATATCACACCTATAAGCAATGTTGTCATTAAAAATGTTTCTGTTTCCTCTATAATTAGGTTGTTGGAATGAAGACAAACCTAAGAAGAGGATTTTGTGTGCAGAGAAGAGGATGGTAGAGAGAGTCATTGGAACTGGAATTTTGTCCCCCTCATCATTATGACAGTTCCTAGAGTTTAGCATTGGATTTTGTCTTTTTTCAACTAAAAATGAGATCTTTGGAGCCGACTGTCTCTTAAGAAAGAATATCGCAGGAATATAGTGCTATATTTATACTGGTAAATAACAGTTCTCAAACTTTGGTTTGTGGGTTGTTTGGAAGACAGAATGTGTGTATGTGTGTATGTGTATGTGTGTGTGTGTGTGTGTTTTCCCACAGAAAAAATGTTACATATGGAAGTTAAGTTTCTAGACAAGTCTATTTTATCAGTGCATCCCAAAATATAGAGTATTACTTTATTTTGTCTTAATAAATGGGGCTGTATATATTATAAAACTATGTTAATGTAGTTAGGAAAGAAAGACTCCCCTTTCTTTTGGAACTGTCTTGGGTCATAAAAAAGTCAATTCTACCAAGATTTCTTCCATTTTAAGGAAGAATGAGAGCCTGGGTCAAAATGTTGAAAAGTGATTTTTTTTTTATTAATCTCTTAGTTCCCTTTGGCAATAGAATCTGGAGAAATGTGAATGAAAGAAAAGAATAAATCATTATAGAAGCTTATTTTGGCCTTGGGTCCAAACAGCATGCCACAACCCAGCCTCAGCTGGGTTATAAATCAGACACTTTTGATTTCTGTCTGGTTCCTGGGTCTATCCCAATGGACCAGAGTCCTTAGGAGAGAAGAGGGACAGACATTGGCCTTCTAACCCCAGCCACCCAGAGCGCTAGCCAGCATGCCCTCAATGCATGCGTGCGAAGGCGGACTCCTCCACTAAACTCTGACAGCCTCCACCTCCCTGTGCTATGTGAGAGTGTCTCCCTGATGTGACAAGGCTCCTTCCCTGTCCTTCCTTTCCACACTCTTCTGTGGTCATGCATGTCACATTCTTGAAGGCAATACTTGATGTAATTTAAAGAGCCCTGGAGAAAGGCTTCCCATTTATTACCATTCCGCCTGTCAGCTACGACCCATCTAGTCTTTGATAGGTGTCAGAGTGGTGTGCAGGAAAGCTATAACTTTGGGGTTAGACAATTTGATTTAAACTTAGGTTGACCTCTTACTCACTCAAGAGCCTCAGAAAACTTAATTCACTATCTGAGACTCAGTTTCCTCATATGTAAAATAAAGATGGTAACTAATATCCAACTTGAGAAAATTCAGAGCTCACCATGCGAATATCGTCACTGATAATGGTTCACTCTTGCTAACTCTAGGGAGTAGGAAAGATCTCATTTTACAAAATGAGACAACTTAGGCTCTGAGAGCCTTAGTGTGGTACAGAGCTGGGATTCAAGGGCAGGGTCCTCTTACTCCCAGTATAATTCACTTTCTATCTCCACAACAGGGGGCCTGCATGACATCTGCTGTGGTGGAGATGTTAATTGAGGCTGTGACTCATGTCACCCACAAGTCCCTCTCAGAAGGCCCTAAGTCAGGCCAGAGGAGATGCCTGTTAAAGTACTACAAAATAACTGGCTCACTCCACACTCCTTGTGGGGACAATTTTGGCTTCTGGTGATAAAGCTCCTGATGTGAAATGATGCCATTTTCTTCTTCCTTGAGATACTAGGTGTGCTCCATTAAAAATGGCTATTTTTCAGACTATGATAAGAAAAAAGCCATGCTAGGGGAATGCAAATGAAGGAACTGCAGTCTGATTAGAAATGATGGTCAAAACCCAAAAGCAATAGCAAGCCAATGGTGACCGACACATGAGACATTATTCTGATGTTAATGTTTTAAATAACTGGAGATGACCTGGAACTTAGTTATAGATAAAGATATGGCTGATCACAGTTTCTCGTGTAAAGGAAAAACAATGAATCTTCGGAGGTACATGGCTCTGAATAAGAGCAAGTCTGTCATTACACACCCAGCACACATCTTTCCATTGCCAAAAATCAAATAGGAGGAATTACTGAGGCTTCAGGAGGTTTTACGTTACAGGTCACTTTTTGATGAAAAACTGAGTATGGGGGATATTTTTCTGTGTAAAGTTCAAAAAGTTGACCAAATCTCTCCCTCAAAGGATTAAGCTGTCTTCCAAGAATGTATTTTACTTACATAACAGAGAGATGGGGAGATAATATAATAAAAAGAGGAGATAAAAACCATGAAGGAGACTTTGAGATGGAGTCATGCCCAAAAAGTTGGGTAGAGGGGTTGTGTATTATGAAGGAATAGCCAACCCAATGAACTTTATTTGCTTTTTTTCATCAGAAACTGTGGGGAAAGACATAATCATTTCTTGATTGGAATTTGATTCCTTTTTGGCTGTGTAGGTGGGAAATTACCTGGGATTGCTGTGTAGGCCTCAAGAAGTCCAGGCACATTGTGTCTCACTCCTATATTGCAGCCATCTGTTGGTAGCAAGTCTCTGCGTGACTGTCCTGTGAGGTGGAGGTGGAGAACTTCATGCTTCTTTATTCAGGGAACTTTGCATATAGTATTAGTTCTACGAATGACCCTGAGGATACAGATTCACCATAGGAACCAAGAGTCTTATGCAAATAGATATTTTTAGACAGGATTGCATGGGGTTAGAAGCTTCTGGCATTATAGTTCAAGCTTGTGTGATCTTGAGCAAGACTTTAATAACTCCATGTCTCAGTTTACTCATCCATAAAAGGAGGACAAAGTCCCCCTCGGGATTCTGTAAAGAGCAAATGTTACAACAGTTGAGTCGGCCAGTATTCATTTAGGAAAGCAGAAACTCCACCTGATATTTTAACACAAAGAATTTAATATGGAGAATCAGTTAAACAGGGATTGAAGGATTAAACGAGCAAAAGGAACATTGAAGAAACAGAGAGAGAAATTGAAGAAGTGAAAGAGGAGGTTGGGTGATCAGAACCCAGAAGCTGGGAGGTGGGGCTTGAGACTGAGCCTCTGGGGAGGGGGTACTAGTGCTTCTGAGAGACCAAAATGAGGTGAATGTTGAGTGTGTGTGGGGGAAATGAACTGGAATGTGGCGCCAACTACAACTTCCCTGGTGAAGAGCTTGGGATGTTGTGACCCAGACAAGAACAGAAGCAAAATTGTAAGGAGTTGGTCCCTCCTCCCCCCTTCCACCTGTCCATCTTCACCTAGTACCACCCCTGGGCAGATCTTAAAGTAGGAGGAGGCAAAGAGCAAATGGGTTTCCTTGATTTTCAGGACTAGCATCAAAGTGGAGCATAAAAGGGTGGATTTGGAGCTGAGAGATAATAGTTAAATAACTGGTACTTATGTGTTATATTAGTTTATTTTCTGTAACTTTAACTGAATACTACAGCCTGGTAATTTATAAAGGAAGGAGGTTGATTTTGTTCACAGTCTGGAAGGCTAAAAACATGGTGCTGGCATCTTCTTGGCATCAGGTAAGGGCCTTCTGCTGAGTCCTGAGGTGGTCCAGGGCCTCACTTGGTCAAACAGGGCAGGCTCTCTACCTCGGGTCTCTCTTTCTCTTCTCATAAACCCACTCATCATTAAGCCCCCACCCTCACGATCTCATCTAAACCTGATTACTTTCCTTTTAAAAATTCTTTTTCGATATACAGGACAGTAGAGTGTATTTGACATAGTATATGTACATGGGGTGTAACTTATTCTAATTAGGATCTCATTCTTGGGGTTGCACATGATGTGGGGTTTTGCTGGTCCTGTATTTATATATGAACATAGGAAAGTTAGGTCCCACTCATTCCATTGCTTTTCCTATTCTCATCCCCACTCCCTTCCCTTCATTCCCCTTTGTCTGATCCAATAAACTTCTATTCTTCTCTTCCCCCATTCCCTTGTTGTTTGTTAGCCACGTATCAGAGAGAACATTCAGCCTTTGGTTTTGGGGATTGGCGTATTTCATTTAGCAGGATAGTCTCCAGATCCATCCATTTACTGGCAAAAGTCATAAAGTCATTTTTCTTTACGGCTGAGCAATATTCCATTGTGTATATATACCACATTTTATTTATCCATTCATCTGTTGAAGGGCACCTTGGTTGGTTTCATAGCTTGGCTATTTTGAATTGAGCTGCCGTAAACATTGATGTGGTAAACATTGATTGCCATAAACAATGCTGATTTTAAGTCGTTTGGGTATAAACTGAGGAGTGGGATAACTGGGTCAAGTTTTCGGAGGACTCTCCATACTGCTTTCCAGAGTTAAATAGATTACTTTCTAAAGAACCCACCTGGTCCCACCTTTTACTTCATGATGGAGATTATTTTAACATGAGTAGTTTTGGTAAGGGCGTTCACACCAGAGCAAGTTCTCAATGAATGTTAGTACTGTGTATTTATCTGCCCCCTCCTCCATTTCTTCTCCAGTAACCTTGCTTTCCCCTCCCCTGTACTCCTGTGTTCTCAGAGAGAAGAAACCAAGGAAGGTAAGGGTGCACGTACCCCAGCAGGAGAGGAGAAGAGAGGGAGTGGAGAAGGAGCCTGACCTCCCACAAGAGGAGGGAAGCTTCCGCTGGGTGTCATTTTGCAGTAGCTATTTTGGAAGATGGAGGCTTCTGGGACAACTTCATGAGACTCTCCCCAAAGGGGAAATTGGCTGATACTTTAAATGAAGAAGTTTTTCTATGGGAGGGAAAGACCTTCACATGGAAGTCAAGGAGAGGTTCCTATGCTGGTTGTACTTGCACTCGAAGGTGAGTGGCTGCTGGCTCCACCTTCCACCAAGGGAGGGAGATGCATGAGCAGGATACACCTGCTGTGAAGGACAGAAGAGGCCACACAGAGGGGCTGGGGGCCTGGCTGACTTATTAGTTTGATCTGACATTTATTGACTATCTACTTTTGCCTTGCAGTAGGTATGCTGGGGATTTGAAGAAGTTCAAAACCCAGTTCTTTTTTTTTTTTTATTGGTTGTTCAAAACATTACAAAGCTCATGACATATCATCTTCCATACATTTGATTCAAGTGGGTTATGAACTCCCATTTTTTACCCCAAATACAAGTTGCAGAATCACATCGGTTACACATCCACATTTTTACATAATACCATATTAATGACTGTTGTATTCTGCTACCTTTCCTATCCCCTACTATCCCCCCTCCCCTTCCCTCTCATCTTCCCTCTCTACTCCACCTGCTGTTGTTTAATTCTCTCCCTTGTTTTTTTTCCCCTTTCCCCTCACAAACTCTTATATGTAATTTTGTGTAACAATGAGGGTCTCCTTCCATTTCCATAGTTTCCCTTCTCTCTCCCTTTCTCTCCCCCCACTCGTCTCTGTTTAATGTTAATCTTTTCCTCATGCTCTTCTTCCCTGTTCTGATCTTAGTTGCTCTCTATATCAAAGAAGACATTTGGCATTTGTTTTTTAAGGATTGGCTAGCTTCACTTAGCATAATCTGCTCTAATGCCATCCATTTCCCTGCAAAATCCATGATTTTGTCATTTTTTAGTGCTGCGTAATACTCCATTGTGTATAAATGCCACAGTTTTTTAATCCATTCATCTATTGAAGGGCATCTAGGTTGATTCCAAAGTCTAGCTATTGTGAATTGTGCTGCCATGATCATTGATGTGGCAGTATCCCTACAGTATGCTCTTTTAAGGTCCTCAGGGAATAGACCGAGAAGGGCGATAGCTGGGTCAAATGGTGGTTCCATTCCCAGCTTTCCCAGGAATCTCCATACTGCTTTCCATATTGGCCGCACCAGTTTGCAGTTCCACCAGCAATGTACAAGTGTACCCTTTTCCCCACATCCTCGCCAGCACTTATTGTTGCTTGACTTCATAATGGCTGCCAATCTTACTGGAGTGAGATGGTATCTTAGGGTGGTTTTGATTTGCATTTCTCTGACTGCTAGAGATGGTGAGCATTTTTTCATGTACTTATTGATAGATTGTATGTCCTCTGAGAAGTGTCTGTTCAGGTCCTTGGCCCATTTGTTGATAGGGTTGTTTGTTATCTTGTTGTTTAATTTTTTGAGTTCTTTGTATATTCTGGATATTAGGGCTCTATCTGAAGTGTGAGGAGTAAAAATTTGTTCCCAGGATGTAGGTTCCCTATTTACCTCTCTTATTGTTTCTCTCGCTGAGAAAAAACTTTTTAGTTTGAGTAAGTCCCATTTGTTGATTCTAGTTATTAACTTTTGTGCTATGGGCGTCCTATTAAGGAATTTGGAGCCCGACCCCACAATGTGTAGATCGGAGCCAACTTTTTCTTCTATCAGGTGCAGAGTCTCTGATTTGATATCTAGCTCCTTGATCCATTTTGAATTAACTTTTGTGCATGGCGAGAGAAAGGGATTCAGCTTCATTTTGTTGCATATGGATTTCCAGTTTTCCCAGCACCATTTGTTGAAGATGCTATCCTTTCTCCATTGCATGCTTTTAGCGCCTTTATCAAATATAAGAAAGTTGTAATTTTGTGTATTGGTCTCTGTGTCCTCTGTTCTGTACCATTGGTCCACCTGCCTGTTTTGGTACCAGTACCATGCTGTTTTTGTTACTATTGCTCTGTAGTATAGTTTGAAGTCTGGTATCGCTATACCGCCTGATTCACACTTCCTGCTTAGAATTGCTTTTGCTATTCTGGGTCTTTTGCAAAACCCAGTTCTTACTCTCAAAATTTCTCAAAGAAGGCAAGATGCCAGGCAAGGTTCTAGAATATACCCTGCTTTAAAATGCCAGGCAAGGTTCTAGAATAGACCCTGCTTTAAGATGAAGTGGAATTTTTTTCTCCTTTCCTGGTTCAGTCCCATTTCTGTGTCCTGTCCATATCATTGTTTATTTAATTTAAAACTATGAGAATAGTAAATGGGTTCCTTATAGCTCAAGATAGAAAATAATTAAAGATTATGGGTATATGCAGTGAAAATGGAGAAAAGATAGAGTTTCAAGATGATCAGATACCTCCCTGTAAAACTGACCATGGGAGTCATCTAATCCTTCACCCATCCATCCTCTCACGAAGCCTCACCTGCTTACTCTCCCACTATCTCTCCATCCACCCACCTCCCATCCATTCATCCAACCACCCACTCACCCACCCACTTCTGCACCACATCCATCCATCCATCATCCATTTTATTCACCCACCCTTTACACCTTCCCTTCCTTATGTTTCTAGCCCAACAAATCTCTAGAGAGTGACGTGCAATAGGCCAGGCCCAGCACACAGGGCTGGGACTATTACTGATGGCTGTAATGTGGCTCCATTCCCCCAGGAGGTCACAGTCTAGTGAGGGAGACACATATATAATGCCCAAATTATAGCAAGATGGCAAGTGTTTTTATTGAGGCATGGGTAAGGAAGTGATTTCTTGGTACTATAGATATTATTAAAAGCAAATCTAAAGCCACAGAGAAGCAACTTGTAGGATGTTCAGTGGTATCATGGTTAAGACCTGATCCTGGATCTTGCATTACTGGCTGTATCATCTAAGCAAGTTCTTAATTAGTTTCCTTTGTGCCTCTTTTTTTTTCATATTCAAAATGGTACTCAAAATATTTAAATCCGATTGCTGACAGTAAATCAACAAATATAAAGCTCTTAGAGTCATTTCTAACACAAAGGAGATTTTAAAAATCTTGGCTAATATTAATATTTGAATGGAATCCTAAATTCATTATTGCATTTAATTCTGAAAACTCTCCCTGATCCCAAGAAAATTGGCAGGGTAGCCACCACTTTCCAGTCAGACACAGTGATGTTCAGGGAGGTTGATTTTTGGGAAAAGTCACAAATGGCGGAGTCTTGGAGCCTCAAATCTACCATAGTGCTCTTTCTGTAATGTTCTTTCTCATTTGCCAACAAGCCCCAGGTATTGGCTTGGAAAGCAACGGCTGATCTCCCAAGTGCCATACCTGCCGACTGGCTGCAGCTGGGCTGACCTCAAACACAGCCAAATGATACAGGCAGCAGCACAACGGAATCAATACAGCCTTGTCCACATCTGCTACTCAAGGCAAGGTCCCTGGGGATGGAGGGACACAGAAGGCATGGGTCAGGAAGCTGCCAGACACCAAATACACATCTCAATCCATGGCAGGAAGTCACCTTCGTCCAAGTCCTGGATGACCAAATGTCTCCACAGGGGTCTGGAGAAGTAGGCATCGAGTGTCCTTCTAAAATGAAAACTTGTTTTGGAGTCTAAAAACACTCACAAGTGAGATATTCTTGACTGAGGTTTCACTCGAAGTGTGGGCAGATTCCATTGACCGTTTAATTTGGCTTTGGGGTTGTGTCCTGTGAAACTGCATCAGAACTGTGTGTGTTGAAATGTGGGAAGCTGAGGGATAGACAGGAGAGGGGGCAGTAGCCTGGGGATTTTCCCAGGAAAGGGGATCAGACCTCAATTTGCAGCTACCATAGAATGGCAGGGGTGTGGGGTATGGAAAGGGACACAGGAAGCAAAAGTCCTGTTCCTTATTGCCATGTGTGGAGCCCTGGGTGGTGAGATGGAACAGCACATGCTTTCTAGAAGTTCCAGGCTGTTTGGAGAGATGTGTAGTACATAATTAAAATACAGTGTAATTTGGGATCATGCGACCTTCAACAAGAAGTGCAGAGGAAGAAATGATGGATTTTTGCATCTGAAAATCTGAAGAGATTTCTTTCTTTTCTTTTCTTTTTTTTTGTGCTAGGGATTGAACCCAGGGCCTGGTATATGGGAGCCTAGCACTCTACCAACTGAGCTATGTTCCCAGCTTCTGAGGAGATTTCAAGTAAGAAGATGCTATCTAAGTAAAGTTTGAAAGCAGAATAAGAGTTTTCTAGACAGACAACTTGAGGATGTCTGCGCTAAGCAGAAACCATAGTGAATCTAAAGACCTGGGATTATCTATATGCTCAACTGAATTCAAATTGTTTTCCTAAACAGTTGTACCAATTACCAACACTTAGTATTTTGTTCTCAATTTTTGCCAAACTAGTGAGTGTCAAATGGGACCATATATGGTCTTGATTTGCATTTACTTAATCACTAATGAGTTTAAGCATCTTTTCATGTGCTTATTGATTATTTATTTATTTAGGTGCTGGGAATTGAACCCAGGGCCTTGTGCATGTGAGGCAAGCATTCTACCTACTAAGCTATATTCCCAGCCCAGCAATTCAATGTTTTCTATGCAGTACTTATTTATGACTCACTTCCATTTTTCTATTTGGGGTGTTTGTATTTTTTTATTAATCTGTGGAAATTTTCATATATTCTGAATAGTAATCCTTTGTTGGTTCTTGTTTTAAAAATACATTCTCTTATGTAATCATTCATATATATATTCTTATTTGTTTTTATATATACAAACACACACTTAGATATGTAATAATATACTTACATATATTAATATACTTACATATATTTACATATAATAATATACTTACATATATTTAATATTAAAGAACTCCTATAGATCTTACATGTTGTATACCTCCTATGACTCATGTTTTCATTTTACAGGACTTATTATGTGTCTTGTTTAAGAAACATTCTCCACCCTGATTCATAAAGATATGTTCTTTGGCATATATTTAAAAGTTTAAGTTTAGCCTGTTATATTTAAATATATAAGCTATTTTGAATCCATTTCTGTATATGGTGTAAGAAGTGCCAAATCAGCAGGGATTTGAGGAATTAGGGTTTTATTCTACAAGCAATTAGAAGCCACCTAAGGTTCTAAATAGGGAAGTGACACAC